CATCAATGTTTAAGTGTTTTTTGCTAAGCCAGTAAGCCTACATTTCACACTCACCAGCCACATTATTAAGAGCGGATTATACTTCTGCAACCGCACACATCAAATGTCCCTTACGTCTGGTCGCAAACCAGTTTTGCCTTTTATGCTTCTGCAACTTCGGTCTGGAATTTCTAGGGACGGACAGCAGTTTCCCGCCAAAGAGCTAGAGGGAACCTATTTGAGAACTCGTGAGAACTTCGGCGGATGGTCATGAGAACTTCTTCGGCGGCGCCGGCGAGAATGTTTATTTTCCAAAACAACATGTCTGAGGCATCATACAAGTGGTTGAACTACCGAATCTCCCCGATCAACCTTTCGATCGTGGTTATCCATTGTTGTTATTACTGCTCGGTTTTTAAAAATAGTGCGTCCCGGCACCGAATCAAGAAGGACCACAGACACAGTCATAAGGCATACGAAGGACCAATCACAGTTGATTTTTGTCTGCGCACTTCCACTTGAGGTCTGTGCCAGTTTGCGACCGTCCGACGTGTAGTCAGGATTTTTTTGAGGTGCGTGACGACAGCTGCAGAGCCTCTGCATGGGGGGGGCGTGGCACAGAGACAGATTTGACGGTTGCAGAGGCTATGCATCAGAAGTATAAATTGACCTTAAGTCCCACCTTGCTAGTACCTTTTTTCCTTTAGAACTGCCTTAATCCTTCCTGCCATAGGTTAAACAAGGCTCTGGAAACCTTCCTTGGAGAGTTTGGACAATATTAGCAGTGAACTCATGGCCATGTTCAAGAAACCGCTTAATGACTAGTGCGATATCCGGCTGGGTCATAAAGGGATGGATAAGGTCCGCAACAATACTAAGGTAGGCTACGGCATTGACATGATGCTTAGTTTGTACTGATGCTACGATCAGACCGCAAGTGCAGGAAGCAGCTAAAAAACTTCTGCTGCTTCATTTTTGATGCTTTTAAACATTAAGGTCCGATGCGTGTGAAGTGCAGGTTTGACGCTCCTGAAGCGTGTCCAGTAAGGTGTGTACCGATGCAGGTAAAAAGTAGTTTTAATATGTTTTTAAGTGAGAAATTCCACCTGAAAACTTCATTTGTGCAGTCAGTTCATTGAGATTACGATCCTGCCTTCAAATATAATGTCGCTGTCTGAGCCGATCAGAACCCCGAACACCAGTGGCGCTCTGTCCCTGGAATTCCCCTTCAAGGGCAGCCTCTGGCGCGTCACCTCTATGAGGTTTTCTGCTACTGTTCAACGGCGGCTGGAAGGTGATTTTTTGTGTAATTCAAACTGCAGGGACCAGAATAATAAAATCAAACATATTATGCTGGCAGGTTTTCACATTTTAAGTTAATCTAAGTTGATAAAGTGTTTCAGAGGAGTGATCATAGGGATCTTCATCAGTGCTGTTTCTGTCTCCCTGCGAGCTCCCAAGTTGCTTTTCTGATTTGTTGATGTGGCTTATTGGGCAGCAAAAGTTAAATTTTTCCATCTCCAGCAGCTGTTTCTTTCGCAGCGTATCCCCCATATCAGATGCTCAGAAATTCATAAGGTGCTGCTTCAGCTGCTCAAAACATGCTTCAGGACCTTTTGCTGCGCTATGATGCATGACTTTGCATGTAAATTAGCTGCTTCTGCTGCCTCTAGCACGTGCGGTCTGAACGTAGCATAAGGGTTAGGAGTTTTGTACTATAGTAGGAGCTCTGCTGAGGTGCAGTCATTTGTGTTCAAAGAAAAGAGAAGTGGAGAGAGAACACATCCCTGGGGGACTCCTGTGTCAAACGATTAAGAGTGGGAGAGGATGCTTCCTAGCTCTACTCTCTGCTACCTTTCAGTGAGGAGGCTATTGATCCACTGACAGGTGGTGCCTGGTGCCATGAGCTAAACATACCTGTCGATGAAACATTTGAATCATTTCAGGGATTGGCAAGGCTGATGTCAAAATAACTGGTGTCAACTTTGGCTAAAGAAACCTGTATCGGTCGATCTCTAGTAGAAACAGTCTAAAGACTTGCAGTTGTAACTGCAGCTGAAGAACTCATGAAAATACTGATTCAAGGGGCTTTAATATGAATGCACACCACACTGTTCATATTATTTATTTGTTAAGACTGGAAATTATGCCTTTTTTTACGCCTTAACAATAATGTCCACTTGTGTTGTTTTGTGTTGTTTTTTCTGCTCTAATATGCAAACACTTGACTATCTGACATGGATCAAGTATCCCTGTTGGTAAAAACTTGATGTGCATCTTGTTGTGAATATCTAAAGCAGACCAGGTGGGAAGTACTTTTCAACTAATGCTAGTTATAGCATTGACGGAAAGAAAAGCAAGCCTAAGCGTCACTGGGAGGAAAATTACAGTCTAAGCCACTTGGAGTAACAAAGCGCAATCAACCCTTAAA